ATATATTTTTTAATTTCATTTTATTGTCGTTTGGGGGCGGGGGGAGGGGTGTATGTTTGACTTCACACCTGTGCGGCATGCGTAATGTGACCTTCAAGAGATGAAATGTCACTCTGGCGCGTTGTCACAGAGAAGAAAGTAAAACGAAGTCTCAAAGCACAGTTTAAACTCTCGCATTGTTTTTTTTTTGTTTGTTTGTTTTTTTCTGATGTCACGCTCACCTCGTTCGGAGTTGTAGCTCCGTTGTTCACAGACGCGCTCCGGCTGTGCGCGTTCCACGAGTTGTCCGCGTTCTTCGCCTCGTTGTTCCTCGGCGTGCTGCTCGGGCTGCACGGCTTCAGAAACATAAAGTCACTTTTGGCTGATTCGGGGGTCAGACAGGCTTTATAACAATATGACTGAGAAAAACTGCTATTTCCATTCACCTCCATGCAGTTCGTAGGTACTTTGGACGCGGATGAAATCTGCAAGTTGAGGTTGGATTTTTTGAACACCTCCGGGGGCGGCTCTGGCTGAAACCCCCCGCAGCAGCAGCAGGCTAAGGGGGGCAGGTTGTAACCGCTGTGGGTCTCCCGGTCCTTGTAGCACTTAACGGCAGCCAGCACTATGATAGCCACCAGGAATATTAACGATATTGTGCTGAGTGACACGATGAGATACAAGGCGAGGTTTGAGGGGGGTTTCGGGCTGAGAGTTAGATCTCCGAAATCTGACAGCGACTCAGGCACGCTGTCTACAACTGTGAGGACAATAGAGGCTGTGGCGGAGAGCGGCGGCTGCCCGTTGTCCTTGATTAATATTACCAACCTTTGTCTTGTTGCGTCTTTCTCAACTAATCGGCGAATGGTCCTGATTTCGCCTGTATATAGAGCCACGCTGAACAAGCCCGGGTCAGTCGCCTGAATAACCTGGTAAGACAGCCGGGAGTTTTGCCCCGCGTCTGCGTCTAACGCCGTGATTTTGGTAACCAAATACCCCGCGTCCACAGAGCGCGGAACCACCTCCGTGGCAACGGAGCCGTTCTTGGGCAGCGGGGATACAATGACAGGCGCGTTGTCATTCTGGTCCAGAACAAACACGTTGACCGTGACATTGCTGGCGAGAGGGGGGAAACCGGCGTCCTGTGCCTGCACCAGAATCTGAAAGTTTCTAAGTTGCTCGTAATCGAAAGAGCGCAGTGCGTATATGTTGCCGTTGTCGGAGTTGATGGAGACATAAGTGGACACGGGCATGCCCTGAATTTGACCCTCCAGAATAGAATAAGACAGATATGCGTTCTGATTAGAATCTGGGTCGAACGCAGAGACAGAGCAAATGGAAGCGCCCGGGGCGTTATTCTCGGTCACATAAACTGTGTATGAAGGTTGAGAGAACCGCGGGGGGTTGTCGTTTATGTCAGACACTTGAACCAGAATTGTTCTCCTGGTGGAGAGTGAAGGGGAGCCCAAGTCTCTGGCCGTAAGTGTGATGTTGAACTCGGACACAGTCTCTCTGTCCAGCGGCTCGCTTGTCACCAGCGTGTAATAGTTCTTAAAAGATGAATGGAGCTGAAAGGGGACATTATTCGGAATCTGACAGTCCACGTTTCCGTTCTCTCCCGAATCTCGGTCCATGACGCTGATCACAGCTATCACTGTGCCAGGCGACGCGTCCTCCTGGACAGGTGTGGACACTGACGTGAGGATAACTTCGGGAGCGTTGTCATTCACATCCAGGATGTCCACCAGCACCTTACTGTGTACTGCCACAGCCGACGGTCCTCTGTCTTTTGCTTGAACGTACAGTTCATACACACTGGCTTTCTCGTAGTCCACAACGCCCTTCACACGTATCTCCCCCATGTAGGGGTCCACGCTGAACAATTCGCGCACCTTAAGAGGTGCGTGCCCGCTAAACGCGTATGTAACTTCCCCATTTGAGCCTTCGTCCAAGTCTGTGGCGTTTAACTTCAGCACCAGCGTTCCCCTGGGTGCGTTTTCCACCAAGCTCGCCCTGTAAACTGAGCGATCAAAGACGGGCACGTTGTCGTTGGCATCTAACACTGTGACAGTTATTAGCGCTGTCCCAGAGCGTTCCGGTGAGCCTCCGTCAAAAGCAGTAAGAACCATTTCGTGCCTTTTTTGCTGCTCCCTGTCGAGCGGAGTGTCCAGCACCAGCTCAGCAAACTTGCTGCCATCATTGCGCGTCTGGATGTTGAGCACGAAGTGCTGGTTTGCGCTCAGCTGGTAGGAGCGCAAAGAGTTGGTGCCCACGTCCTGGTCCTGTGCGCTCTCTAAAGGGAAGCGTGAGCCGGGCGCAGCAGACTCTGTGATGTCGAGATTGAACTCAGTCCACGGGAAGCTGGGGGAGTTGTCGTTGACGTCTAAAATCTCCACTTCCACTCTGTACAGTTCTAACGGGTTTTCGATGACAACTTGTAGGTGTAGAAAACAGCTCGGGCTTCTTTCACACAGCTCCTCTCTGTCTATCTTTTCGTTAACAAAGAGGATCCCGTTCTCCAAGTTCACTTCTAAATACTGTTTCTTTGCGCCGGAGACGATGCGAAACCTTCGCGCTGAAAGCTTGGCCACATCCAGACCCAGGTCTTCTGCGATGTTGCCCACAAATGCTCCGTGATCCAGCTCCTCGGGGATGGAGTACCGAATCTGCGCAAGTACCAGGTCCACCACGCACGCACACAGCAGTAGACATATGACCAGACCAGTCACCGGAACCCAGCAGCCTCTGCAGAGTTTATGTTCCATGTCCGCGGCGTGCGTAAAAAATAAGCTTATCCAGACATGCTTTACCTCATAAAGCCTGTCACCATTAAAGCTGCGAAGTTTAAAATCAAATTAAAAAAACCTAAAAGAGTTTGTCCAGGTACAAAAAAATATATATATATCTCAAGATGAAAAGTTTTTAAACACCTATCTATGTATAAAACTTTGTGTGGGAGGGGGGAGAACTGCAGATGAAAGAACAGCAAGCGAAAGGAGAAAGACTGTGGCTCTCTCTGTGCTGTGCACCACGCGCAGCACTGGTGTGTGAACGGGGGAGGCTTGCGCTTTGATTTTCCAGTGTATTAGACACTCGGAGGAGCTGGTGGTAAGGCGCGCGCGTGTATTCGTGTGTGTGTGTGTGTGTGTGTGTGTGTGTGTGTGTGTGTGTGTGTGTGTGTGTGTGTGTGTGTGTGTGTGTGTGTGTGTGCGTGTGCGTGTGTGTGTGGAGAAAAAGAACGAGAGAGAGAGGAAAAGAGAGTCAGAGGGAGAGAGACGGTGCGTATGACACTGAGAGAGAAAAGGAGGGAGAGAAAGATAGATGGAGGGGGTGGACGTTGCTCCTCGCTGCTCTGTATTGGAGGACGTCGACGATAAGTGCGACTCTAATTATGGTAGACGTTTAACCCTTTCCCATCCTCCTTTTTGACCCATTAAAGAAACGAAAGGGGGGCATGTTTGACTCCAGACGTCAAAGCCAGATTTGGATTAGGAAACGGATAGTGGTCGCTTTCTAGGCTGCATTTACCGGATAAGGATTTGTAATGATGTCCAGGGAGTCCTACAAGATGACAGCGATGGGCAACATGATTTAATAGTGTTTTTTTTTTGTTTGTTTGTTTGTTTGTTTGTTTTTCTCATGACAGCGTTGTAGCTTAAAAAAATAAATAAATAAACTCACTGAGTGTATTGTTTTTAGATAACAGATGTTTTATCTTTCTTTTGCGTTGCTCGAAAGGTCCAGTAGTGGCTACTAGCAGACTCCCGGGACTCCATAATGCTTTTTAATTAGAGGCCTTTGAAGATGAATGCCCACACTGCAAAACAGTCCCATTCATTAATCATCACACACGAAATGGTTTTTTACAAAAAGAATCTTTGATGGGTCAGGATATTCATTTTTAATCAACATTCAAATGAGCGTGCTTGGGCTTAAAATGATTACACGGACGGCCCTGACTGGACAGCACAAGCCACGCAAATGCGAATTACACGACTTTAATTCACTTAAGTAGACCTGAACATGCATCAACACAATCAACATAAAAGCTACGGTATGAAGCCGTAATCATACTTGTCTCTAATCGGGTATTATAGCCAGGATCAAATAAATATCCCACAGGTTTACAGCCTCTGAAGAGGAGACAAAACGCTCACACGCAGACTGATGCAACAGAGGAATCTTACAATCAGATTATGAATAACGCCAGTGGAGGAAAGCGCCGTCATATCGTTCATATCAGCCAGAAAGTCTCTCTGAAGCGAGGCACATGTTTGCTTGGATCTAATCTTACCCATGTTAATCCCGGCCTGTAAGAAAACCGCTGAACGGCAGAGAAAGAGAGCGAAAAAGAGAGGGAGGAGGAATTAAATGACGCCTTTGTGAGTCCAAGTTCGTCTCCAGACAGACACGAGTAGCATCCTAATGCAAAACTGTGGTGTGAAATGTGGAAGTGTCTTTCTGGGACTTACGGCACAACCTTGACCCCATAGCAGCACTGTGGATGACGAGTCACTTGTTAGAGAGTGAAGATTTGTGAGTCAATAGAGGAACAGGGAGAGAACTGTTCTTCTGTCCTTCCTAGTAGAATTAGATAAAACGCACCTGTTACACTTTGAACAGATGCTCGACCCTCATTGGAGGAAGTAATGGGCTCTTTTCATCTTAAAAAAAGATGTTTGCTTTCACAAGAACAAATTGAGATCTGTTGCGGAGTTTTAGCAACCAGGACAATTGCGGGAACATCAATAGATTATCGATGTCTTGACTTCTTTTCACCATTGCTCGCATGTGCTATCCTTACTTTAGAGAATGTTGCACAGAAAGTGCCACTCCCACTTCCCCAAACAAGAATCACAGACACACAACACCCCCCACTCTTCAGGAAATAAATAAATAAATAAATAAATAAATAAAAACTAAAATCCCTAGGTTTAAATAAGCAGAAAACACAATCTGCTTGGAGACTTAACCTCAAACAGATGGTTAAGCTTCTCCAGAAATGATTACATTTCTGGAAAAAAGAGAGAGAGAAAGAGAGAGAGCGAGAGAGAGCGAGAGAGAGAAACATCACCCCCACCAGTTCCATTGCTTTCCACTTCTTTTTAATTAACGGAGTGAAGGATTAGTGTACAGCTATCCGGGATCAAGCGTTCTCCAACGGAAGAATACAAATGTTTTGTGATAAATAATCCCAAAGCGCTCCGTCCGGTGCTCCCCTCGGTGCCTGATATTAACATGCATTACACGGAGCATTAAGCCGGTCTCATCCGCCCCTATCGCCCGGTTCACCTCATTGTCCGACAAAAAGAGAGCCATTACTTTCTCTGAGCCGATGCGCAACAGCAACCTGACCGTGACCCGTTACTTCTGCCTCAGCGGTAACAGGGTGAAACAACGCCAAGGGGTGCATCAAGAAAGGTAATAGATGGTGTCTAAGCTTAATTTTATTTGGTTTTTTTATACTCTTAAAATAGAAGTTCGGGATTCTACAAAAATGTTTCCAACTTAATCACTGGTGGCCCACGACGAATGGACGAATCAAGCGGATTTATCGCAACCATTCGTGATCCGATGGCGCCATCAACTGGGGACTGTGCAGAAACGGAGACAAGTAGGTTATGTAGTTGAATTTTTCTAACTTAATAAAAACGTAAAAACTTTCTAACTTAATAATAACAACAACAATTATTATTATTATTATTATTATTATTATTAGTATTATTATTATTATTATTATTATTATTATTATTATTATTATTATATGTATGCACTCAGTATGGTTTAGATCATTATTCATTGCCAATCCATCCATAACACGCTTTTCCTTGTTGTAGGGTCACGAAAAGCGGTGGTGCCTATCACCGCTCGGCGAGAAGCAAGACAGGTCACCAGTTCATCGCAGGGCATCATGGGAACAAACAGAACGAACAACCATGCATGTTCACATTCACACCTATGGAGAATATAGAGAAATCGATTAACCTAACCGTGAGAGAACCCACTCATGCACGGGACAACATGCAAACTCTGTGCAAACAAACCCCTTGACTTCCCAGCTGCAACGCAGCAGTGCTACCTACTGTGCCACTGTGCAGCCCAACAGCCAGTTCATCAGTTTAGAATAAGCCAGATTTTTAATATAAAGAGTGACGTTATTTCAATGAGTCCTTGATGCAAGGCACTCCAGCAGGGTTATTGCTTCTTCTAAAGGTCCACAGCATACCAGACCCTCTACTTGGCAAAGAGCATAAGATTTTTTTTATTTTATTTTTTTTAATTTTTTTAACAAATACCCACCATTTGTTTTACACCAGACCTACCAGGAGTGGCTGCTGCAAAAAAAATGCTTAATTTTAACTTCATCTGACCAAAATTTCTATTTAATGTGACTGTTGCATTTAGCAAACTTCCTCTGTCCTAGGTAACATATCTATCCATCCATCCAATCCATCCATCCATTTTTTTCTTAGACTAGATTAAAAAATGTATTTAACAATGACAAACCCCGAATCATTTATCAATCCGCGATCCTATGGCGCCATCTAATGGACATTCATCAGTACAATCCCGTGTTGTGGGTTTGTTGAAGCAGGTGTATGACGACATCTTCAACTCCAACTCCACACCGCTATGGGGTCCTGATGTGTGCTTGTTTGCTTACTCAGGGGGGCCAACAGGAGTCTCTCCAGGACCTTCATGATGTGGGATGTCAGGGCAACAGGTCTATAAGTCGTTAATGACTGATGGGTGAGTTTTCTTGTTTCCAGAACCAGGCAGGATATCCTCCACAATGGAACCTTCTCTTCGGTCAAGCTAAGGTTGAAGAGGTGCGGCAGAATCCCACAGAGCTGCTCTGCACAGGCCTTCAGGACTCTGGAGCTGACACCATCTGGACCTGCAGCCTTGTTTCAGACGAGTCTCTCCAGCTGCCTCTTCACTTGACTATGGGGGAATTTTTCTACCATAAATCAAGAGCACACATTTTCAGTCTGAAAGCAGGATTTCATAGCAGAAAAATCCCCTGACACTTCTAAAGTGGGAGAAGGAGGAGGAAAAGGGAGCAGCATCATCTCCTGATTTGGTTGAAGAAAAACTTGTGGAAGCAGAAGAGTTCATGACGCAGGTGGAAGCCAAAACATCTGAGGTTTGACAAGACAGCTGTGGGTCAAAGGAGGGTGGATGTCTGTTTGACTGGGGTCAGGAAAGGAGGATGTTGAGATTGTTCCTGAACTAAATCTGATGAAGAATGTGTTCAGCTCGTTTGCTCAGTCTTAAAATATTAATTAATTATCTGCCAGGTAAATTAGTTGACTCAGCTGAATGAAATCAAAGTTAATGCGTGAGTATGTTTATTGATCACATTTAAAACGGTATTGAGACAAATTTAACCTGATGACTTTAAGGCCTTTAGCATTACATTTACTTATGGCGCCACCTGCTGGACATTACGCAGCGTAACGGCCATTTAGGAATCCAGTGTGTTAAAAAGACTTGTGGATCGTAATTCTAGAAAGAAAGAAATGTCTTCTAAATGGTTCATTTGTAATTTGAGAAGTTTGTACTTTTCCTTGTCATTTACAGGCTAGCCCACTGATACATGGAACGCAAACAGAGCTCATAGACTGTTCTTTTACGTTTTCCTTCATACGTTTCATTTATATTTGTGTCCGTTTCAATGTCGTGGGTAACTATTTTAATAATTTTCTTAACATACAAAGTTTAAAATTCAACAGCTTCTTTTTTTTCTTTCAGCACATTTTTTTCAGTATTTTTTTTCTTTTTCTTTTAGTTTTTCTGCGAAAGATACCAAATAGTTTTGGGGAATGCTGTCTTTAAACGACATTATTATGTTTTATCGAATCGTTTCTCTTAAGATAAATAATATTAATAATAATAAAAAAGAAAACGTCGGACAGCGCCCGTGGTCGAACCTGCGGCTGTTAGGCCGCTGGCTAGAAACTTGAATCCATTCAGGTTTGATGTAACCACTGAGCTACGCCGACGCTGAAAACATTTCCTGCATAACTTGATAATAAAGCACAATACCAATGAGAACGCTACTAGGTATCATTGATTTTGTTTCTGGACACTTGTTTATTTGCTTTCACTTTCTTGATGAAATACAGAAGAATAAGTGCCGT